AAGGAGGTGGAGGATCAAAAGGAGGGAGGGGGGGAGGGAGGGAGGAGTATATTTGTTGACATTGTTAGGAGAGGCTGTGAAGGACTGATGTTCAGAGCGGGCAAGGGGAAAGAGGGCTCAGGGCGTGCAAGGGGAAAGAAGGCCGAGGAGCAGCAATGAAGCCTGGGGCGAATAAGAGGAAGGGGGGGAAGGCTAGAGAGGAGCTTGCACAGGACTGTGATTTGACGTTGATAGAGATTGTGAAGACAAAACCGAAGGCGATTCCCTCTGCTGTGGAGCGGTGGCTTAAGGAGTACGAAGCTGACCCCCATGCTGGGTTACTGAAGCTGGTCAGGTTCCTGTTTGAGTCCTGCGGCGTGACTGCTGACATCGTCAGAGATGGGGAGAGAGTGGATGAAGCAGACGTCGACGAGCTGGTTCGGCATGCAGTTGAATATGCAAAAGACGGCAATGTGGTGGACAACTTCTCGAGAAAGGACAAAGCGTTTTCGGGAGGCCAGTTCAAGCAGGACATCCTCTCCTTCTGGGATTGTCTTGTGCGTACTTGCCAGGATGGAATGCTGTATGATGGGAGGTTGTTGAGGAAGTGTATGGACTTCGTGATCGCGTTGTCGTGCACGTCGCCTCGACCGTTTCGCACTGCGGCAACCACAATTGGTCTGCAACTGGTCACTTCTCTCGTTGGTGTGGCACGGACGCTTTGCGAGTCCCGGCAGACGATGCAGCGGCAGCTGAATGCAGAGAAGCGGAAGCGGAAGGAAGGTCCGAGGATCGAGGCTCTGAACAAGGGCCTGAGTGAGACGCACACGAAGATCACCATGGTGGAAGAGATGATGAGGAAGATCGTGACGGGGGTGTTTGTGCACAGGTATCGCGATGTCGATGCGGAGATCCGCGTGGCCTGCATATCGTCCATCGGTCGGTGGGTTGCGGAATACGCCTCACTCTTTCTTCAAGATCTGTATTTGAAGTACATTGGGTGGACATTGAATGACAAGGTAGCTGATGTGAGAGAGAGCTCTGTGTCTGCGCTTTGCAGGCTTTATGCTGCGGAAGATAACATACCTGCGCTGGGTCTCTTCACGGAGCGGTTCAGCGAGCGAATGGTGGAGCTCGCAGATGACATCAACACTGTGGTTGCGGTGAAGGCGATCGGTCTCTTGAATGCGCTTTTGCGCCATCAACTCCTTGGCGAAGAGCAAATCTCGCAGCTTTTCGAGCTCCTTGTCGATGAGTCGCCGCAGATACGTCATGCCGTTGGGGAGTTGGTGTATGAACACTTCGTTGAGCGGGATGCATCGTTGGGTGCAGATGATGATCGGTCGACGCCTGCAGGCAAGGAAGGGAAACAGCGTCCGGAGGCCCAGATCCACAGGCTGCTGCGGATCATGTCAGAGTATTCTGACAGCGAGGTGCTGTGCGACTACGTGATTGATGCCCTCTGGGAGCACATGGCTGCGATGCAAGACTGGAAATGCATCTCAGAGCTCCTGCTAGATGACAAACCGGAGGACGACCTTTCGGCCGAGGACTCTGCGAACCTTCTGAGAGTTCTCCGAGGTTCTGTCAAGCGAGCGGTGGGGAAGAAGATTGTGCCCGTCCCGCGGAGCGAAACGCGCCGATTGATCGTTTCCAAGGCACAGAAAGACGCGCAAGATGTGGCGTGTACTAAGTTCACAGGGGTGCTGATGAAAGCACTCCCACAGTTGTTGAGGAAGTACTTGGCTGATAAGGACAAGCTGCTCAACATTGTGGACATGGTGCCGCAATTGGACTTGACGCTCTTCTCCTTGAAAAGACAAGAGAGCTGTTTCGGAGAGCTGTTGCAGCTCCTGAAAGATGCGTTCTTCAAGCATTCAGGAACGGAGTTCTTCCAGGGCTGCTTGAAGGCGCTGATGTATTGCTCGAAGGAGGGGAAAGCAGAGCTGAAGGACATGGCTGCACACGTACTGAATGCAATGATGGCAGAGCTCCACGATCGACTGAAGGATGGCGTCATGAAAATTATCAATATGGATGAGTGGGGAGAAGAGAACTACTCCCTCATGACCTGTCTTCAGCGCCTCAAGGTGTTCCAGAACATCGTGGATGTGGGAAGGGACAACAAGGACGATATCTCTGACCTGCTTTTGATGCTGCTGGAGGAATGCAGTGGGGAGCTACCTGAGGAGGTTGTATGTCTCTCTCTGTCGAACCTTTGGTTGAGAGTCCTTGCAAGCCTTGCGGATATCGATGTGGAGAACCCTGACGGCGATGCGATGGACGCTCTGCTTGGCCTTCGAGACAAATTCCTCCAGCAAATCGAGGCAGTCGCGAATCGCCTCGTTACGGACTGGACTGGGGAGAAGTCGAAGGCAATTCTTGCGACAACCGTTTGCGAGCTGTATTCTGACATCTGGACAGCATTCTGTGCACGAAAGCTCAAAGGGACTCTTCTTGAGCGGGCGGGCTACGAGCCATCGGAGCAGATCGTTGCCAGCTTCTGGACACTCTGCCAGTGTCTCTTGAGGTTGGAAGAACGACGCGGTGGAGAGGGGTACACCGTTGGTGAAGAGCCGCTGCCGAGTAGAGAGCACGTCATGTCGATTGCTGCAAAGCTGGTTGCCTGCAACGTCGTTCCAGCGACCTATAAGTTGGGGCAGGAAGCCATTGCCTGCTATGCGCTGTACGGGAAAGAAGTGACGGAGGTAGTTAAGCTTCTTTGTGGGGTGGTCAGGAAGTATTATCGACCTGAAGAGCAGGTCAAACTCTTTCTTGGAGCTCTGATAACTGCGTACGAACACCACTTATTAGAGGTTATGGGGGATGAAGACCATGGGGATCTTGAAACCAGGGAGTCGTTCCTCGCTTGCAAGGACCTGGCGGGCCGATTCTCGCTGATTTACAGTGGGTTTGCCATGGCGTCGTCCCGGGCAACACTGGATGGGATCGTCAAACAAGGAATGGATTATGCCTTTGCAGATGTGCCATCGAGGTTGTCCTTTCTGCAAGGGTGTTTGGCACCCTTCCTGGGGAGATTGCCCATCGGGGATGTGAGGGAAATTTTGGCAACGGCGGAGAGAAGGGTGGAGGGCATTAATACCGACGAAGACCCTAACTCGTGGCGTCCTTTCTATACTTTCATTTCGCAAGCACGAGATAGATGTTCACGAGGCGAACCGCACGCGGAGGACCGAGGACGTGGGCAGGTCAGACTGGGGAAGAGGAGGAGAGGTCTCACAAGAGGCAAAGGCCGAAAACTCGAGTTTGGCGAGGATGCGAGCGACGAGGAGGAGCGCTCACACCAAAGCACTCATGATGGTGAGGAGGAGGAAGAGGAGGAGGAGGAGGAGGAAGAGGGGAATGGAGAGGACGAGGAAAGCACTCCTCTGAGCGATGTGCGGAAAACGCGAAGATCACGCTTTGCACCAACGCCTATGCCTGGGAGCAGCAGAGAAGCTGGGCAAGATCAACTGCAGAGGAGCACTGGTTCGTTGGCTATGGCCGGGCGAGAAAGAGAGGAGGTGCGCACCGATGTCCGAGCTCCAGCATGTGCTCCACAGGTTGCCGGCTCCTTTACATCTGAAGATAGGGGTAGGAATGAGGAAAGAGTAGAGCATTCGTCGAGGCAAGAAGAGGTTGTGCGGCCAGTGCTACGTAGCGCCCCAGATGGAGATGAGCAGAGAACAACTCATGAACACCCAACGGCTAGCGACAGTTCCGCCAGGCAGGAGGCGGGTGCAGGTCCAGGAGGTCAGGCGCAACCTGAACAGAGGGCCTATCGAAGGAAAAGGAGCGTATCGATTATGCATGATCCTGATGGGAGAGAAACAGATGGAGGGAGTGAGAGCCGACATGGGACAGAGGACACAGCCAACGATAGACCAGAGGATTCGGATGACTGGTTCCACGTACGAAAGCGGCTCAGAACGGAGGGCCCGGTGCTTGAAGGCGGAGTCGAGGGCCAGGTTAGCGGGAGCGTGGGCAAGGCAGGCAATGAGGAAGAGGAAAGCGTGGGAGACGGTAGGAATAGGAATGATGAGAGGCAGGAAAGGATGCAGTATGGCATAGGGAGCTGGGAAGCAACGGACGCTGCGGGCCATATTAATGACGCGGATGCTGGCATTATGGATGAAAGATGCGCTCAACAAGGTCCTGAGCAATTGCCACTGAACATGAGATCTATGGGGATGGAGGCAGCGTATGGCGTTTCGGACCTTGATCCTTCAGAGAAGGGCTTGTGGTGGGATGATGATGACGATCTGCTTAATGTGCAGACGAGCCATCCGATGGAAGAAAGGTCTAAATTTTCCATGATGCAGCCTGCACCAGGGATGCGGTCAGAATCGGAGGAGAGAGAGGAAGAGGCTCGAGCGCAATCGGATGCTCCTCCTGGTGCTGATGCTGAAGATGATGACGAGGAAGAGGATCCAGTTCCTCTCAAACGACTGAGGCGCTTCTGATGACATCTACCTTGATATGATCGGGCTATGCACTGCACATCCTTGGGCAGTTCATTTGTATAGGGAAGCTTCTGCCGTGGCTGATTGAAGATCCAAGGGGCAATGATGGTGGTTCATTTGTGTAGGAAAGATTTTGGTGTGGCCCATTGGGGATCCAAGGGGCAACGGTGTCGGTTCATTTGGCAGCTCATTTTTGTAGGGAAGGTTTTGGTGTGGTCGGTCGATTGGGGATGCAAGGGGCAGTGATGGCAGTTCATCTGTGTAGGGAAGATTTTGGTGTGGCTGACTGGGGATCCGAGGCGCAATTATGGCGGTTCATTTGGGCTGCGGTTCGAAGTGTTGCCCTGCGTCACACCCCTCTTGCAATTGCTTCCTTCCATGTGTGTCTTTACCTATCTGCTAGTCATTGGCTACGCTTTGGTCCTGCTGGTGGGTGTTGTACTTGTCCTGTACATTAATATGTAGGCATGATGAACATTGAGCGTGTTCGGAGGTCAGATACGTACAAAATCCCCCCCCCTTGTTTTACCCCCTGAAACCGGGGAGTTGCGTGAACGGTGTGAGCGGTGCATTGTCTTCTTCCTTCACATCAACTTAACAGCATGTCAATCTTGGTAGTTGAAACAGATCCTACATTTATTAACCCATTAGCACCGTCAGAACGGGGAGATGAGAGGAGATCGTTTCGTGTTTTGTCTATGTGCCAAGTCGAAACAGACACAATCAGTCGGGATATTTCGAACAGATCAAAGGTGTAGGTAACTGTATAGATTGCGGTATAGGGGTAGGATACGAGATTCTGCAGGCTGTCAGGCGGCTCACCCTCCTAATGAGCCATTGAGAGTCTGATGTACGTTCATATAACGGTCTGTCACATCCCCCCCCTCTCCTTTTTGGCCCTTCAAATTTTTTTTTTTGCCCGTCTTTACCTTTTTTTGCCCTTTTGTAATCTGTTTTTACCTGTTGTTTGCCCTTCTGTCGATTGTTCGTTGGGCAGTTGTGTGTGACAATAGACATGCCCCATTTTCGTTGTCCTTTTCTCCCTTTTTGCCAATATTTCCGTGGGAAGATGTGTGACTTTCTCTCTGGTCAAAGGTGGATCACATGTGGTTGGGGCCACTGATGCTGTGCGGTGTTTTGGGTGCGAATCTCGAGCAGTCTTGATTGTGTGGGTACCCTGGAGGATAGTCACACATATCTACATTTATATTCATATATATGTCTACATAAAGGGGGAGCGCAAAGAAGAAGTGATAAAAAGAATGGTTTGTGTGCTCTTCTTGTTTGTCTTCTGGACTTTTGTCCTTTGTTTTGCAATGTGCACGCTTTTCGTTGATAGATATGTGACAATGCATATACCCTGCAGTCTGTAGGTTCTTCCGACTGGTGTGGGCGAGTGATTGTCTGCTTTGATGTTTGTCAGTGGATGGTGGACCCTGAGGGGGGGAATAAGTTGTCGGGCAGTCATGATGCTTAACCGCAATGTGAGTCAAGGCGGATTTGCACCCACAGTGTCAGTGGTTAGGGGACTGCAGAGTGTAGACTGGTCAGCCTCCTGACGAGTTGGTGAAACAGCTGTCCAAGCCCCCTGTTCCTTGTCCTTTTCTCTATCTGCCTACGGTTCACGTGCGCCCGCGCGCGCGCGTGTGTGTGTGTGTGTGACGCAGTTCCCTCCTAAAACATGCCCTCGCCACCCCTTGCCCGTTTCTGCCTCCACTGAGTACGATGTTGACCCCTCCCACCACCCCAGCCCCAGAAACAGGACAATCCCCCAACTCCGCTTCTACCCTCTTCGAGACATTCACCCCCCTCCTTTTGAATCCCCTGCAGGATAGCGCTCCCTATCCACCCCACTCTCCCAATTCTACCCTTCTAAAATAATCGATCCAGCCCTCAGGAATAAACTCGGAATTTTCTCTTGAAAATGACCCGTTGAAGAGGGCGCAGGGCAGCAGTAAAGCTTATTACAATTATTCCCCTTCCCCTTGCCCCCAATGAACAGATGACAACTCCCACCAATTTGGAAAAAACTATCAGAATTTAAGCTACGATAGTGAAATTCAGAAACACTCAGGATTTCTTAAAGGGTATAACCAAGGAACAAAACTGCGTAATTATCGTGATGATTCCTACAGATATGCTATGATAGTGAAATTCAGAAACACTCGGGATTTATTAAAGGGTATAGCCAAGGAACAAAACTGCGTAATTATCGTGATGATTCCTACAGATATGCTAACGATTCAGAATAGACGATGTTAAAGTGAAACTAAGACCAAACTAAGATTGTAATTGAGAAGATTGAATTTACCTTGAAAAACGCTGCGAATATAACCCCAATCGTAAAGATTGAACTTACCTTGGGAAATAGCTGCGAGTATAGACCCGATCGTAATTATCGAATTGTCATAGAATTTAACAGCAATAGCGGTTACCCTAACCAGAGATATCGGACAAGAACAGTAGTTATACATCCATACGAAAACACAAGGTCAACTTGTCGGAGCAAAACGCCGTCGAAGTCCCTTACGGATGCCCGCGCCTGAACGATCTTCCTCCTCCCCACTCCACGTGAGAACGCATTCCTCCCTTCCGCCCGCGACTCCCAACCAACCACCTCAACACTTCGCAGAAACAGAGAAACAAGGCCTCAACTATGGCCAAAGTCTCATGGAGATCGCCCTTCTTCCAGTGACAGTCTCCCCTTCGCCAGCGTGCCGACTGCGACACCACTTGGACAAAGCGCAGAATCGAAGACAACTTTCCTAATTGGCCAAGCTGGAAGAGCACCCAAGCGAAGGCTTACACGTTGATGGCCATTCAAGATACACTCCACGCGCTAAGCGATAGCATCCCCAACCACCATCACCCTTGTGCTTGCATAAGATCGCCCGAAACCGCACCAGCAGACATGAAGATGACGAAGCACCGCGGGTGTGTGACGAAAACCGCACCAGCAGACATGAAAACGATGAAGCACCACGGGGGTGCGACGGACCGGGCCGATGGCAGGTCGGGAGGCGCGGCGTGACCGGGAGCGCCGCGCCTCGGTATCGTAAGTCAGCTGTGTCTGTCGTATGAACGGTCGTATGGCAGTTTGTACTAAGGCCGTACTATAGTGCACAGGGTGCCTAAAAATGAACAAATAAATAATAAAACTTACAGGGTTGTAGAGCACGGAAAGCTCTCCAACCCCATAATTTTTATTTTATTTTTTGGTTCGTTCTTAGATTAAAAAAAAAAAACGAAACATTAAAACGAGTGAAAAAGTTAAAAAGATTTGATTGGTTGATTGGTTGATTGATTGGCTGATGGTTGATTGGTTGATTGATTGATTGATTGGTTTCGCAGGATGGTAGATAGGGACAGTGGGAATTTCGATAATCTATTCATGCAGGACGAGGCATTTGGCTACCCGCCGTTGACCGGCACGTGTGCATGCGTGGGCACACACGCACACACAACACACACACACACACACACACACACACACACACACACACACACGCACACACACACACACGCAAACACATACACACCACACACACACACGCAATCGTGCGCGCAAACGCACACACACACACACACACTCTCTCTCTCACACACACACTCTCACATGCACATCTGCACATACACACATGCACACACACATCCGCACATACGCACACACACACTCACACACACACAACGCACACACACGCACATACCCGGCGTGCACACATGCACACACACGCTTATGTGCGCGCAAAGAGAGAGACTAAGAGAGGCCACACACGAGTATGTGCTTTTTTTTTTAATCAATCAATCAACCAACCAATCAATAATCAATCAATCAATCAATCAATCAATGAATCAATCAATCAACCAATCAATCAATCAATCAACCAATCAATCAATCAATCACTTCGTTGTTGTATTTTTCAAGCCACCGACCTAAAGAAAAAAAAGTTTGATGTGTTGTCACGCGGGGATCCCCGGGGCCCAAGCTGGGGGTTTCACCCCCGCAACCCCGCCGTGGGGATCCCCGACCTCCGGCCCCTCCAAATTACCCCC